ACTTACCTTATATTATTACTAACTCCAAATAACTCCCAATACTGTCCAAATGTGAACCCTACCATAGCTTCTCGTTTTCTCTTCGTTTTCTTCATTTTTCTTCAAATTTTTTTTCATGACTTAAGTGCGTAAAAAATGAGTCATGCATCGTGGTGCACGTAGTAGGCGCTACTGCACATGGCACAGAAAGGCCCTCCTATTTTAGTAGTCATTTGTGCACCATGGCGGATGTGCTGCATGCTGTGGCATATGGCACAGAGAAATTTTCTTTGTGTTTTCTCCTCTTTTCAATGCCCGAGTGGCCCAACTTCACTCCAACCCTATAACTAAAACTTAAAACACAACTGAATCCAATATTAGACCTCTCTGACCACACACTACATCATATCACTCAATTACTACAATAAACTCAATTAGTTCCTTAGTAATTTAGGCATTAAAATTTAGGATGTTACATGGAAGGCTTCTAGCTTAAGGTGCAAGGAATTTGGCTTAGCTGCAAGGCTTATAGCTTGGGTGCAAGGCCTCTAGCTTGGGTGCAAGACTTTTGGCTTAAGGTGTAAGGCTTCTAGCTTGGGTGTAAGAGATATAGCTTAGGTGCAAGGCTTCTGGCTATGGTGTTCTGGCTTGGGTGCAAAGCCTCTAGCTTAGGATGCATGCTTCTGGCTTGGGGTGCAAGACTTCTACGCACATGTTATGACTTAAGGTATAAGGCTTTTAGCTTGGGTGCAAGGGATATGACTTAAGGTACAAGGACCTAGCTTAAGGTGCACGTGTTAAACAGGCAGCTTTTTTTTTTTTTCAATTTCGTTGGTTTAAACAGAGGAGCATTTTAATGATTTGCTTAGATTGTTTAATGAATAAAATATTTAATTTGGTTTTTGATTTCAACTTGGTCCTTGAGCACAATTTCTCTTTCAACTTGATCATTTTCACCATTTCTCCTGATTAATTATCATTATTATTTGTTGAATGTCATTTTTTTGGCTAGAAAATATTTGTCGAATGCCATATTTTCAAATAAAAAATCAACCTTGCGTCCAAGTACAGAATAATATTCACCAAAAAAAAGTACAAAATTATTATAAAAAAATTATAGAGTGATATTTAAATTTAAATATATTTTTATTATAATTTTAATCTTAATATCATAGTTATTTAAAATTTTAGTTACTTTAAATCTTTTATTATTATTATTTCACTTTTTTGGTTAGTGGCTCAATTATTCTTGCATCTTCTTTCATCTTTTGTTGATTAAAAATACAAATAAACTTCTCATTCTTAATTTTCTATTTTCACTTTAAATTTTAATTTCTTTTAAAATTACACTATACACATTAAGGTTGTCAAACTTGTGAGTTTAAATAAACTCATATAAAAGATGTGGACTCATAACATAAAATCACAAGAGTTTACTATGGTTGACAAATTATTATGAAAATATCTAATTTGTTAACCTTCATGTCATAAGGTGAACACGAATATTAATACTCCCTTTGTTTAAAAATGTAAAACATTTTCAACTAAATCTCACTTTCTAATAAAGTAATTACCTACTTTTAAACTAATCCTATCTTTTTATATTTACCCCTATTAAATACCCTACAATAATAAATATAAAGTCATTTATCAAAAGGAGCACTTTTGAAAAAAAGATAATGATCACACCTCGAAAGACTAAAAATATCTTATATTCTTGAACATCTAATTCCTCAAAAAATATCTTACATTTTTTAATGGAGAGAGTATACAAACACACATATATCCAATCACTTAAAAAAATTAATTATGGTATTTTGATTCCAATATATTTTAATTTCAAATTTCTTATTAGAAAGTAAAATTATTGAAAATTAATATATATTTGAGAGTAAACAAAAAATTAGTACAATTTAAGTTTCACTTATTCATAAAAAAAAAATGATAACGAATCCTCCTTAATATAGAATTTTTTTATGACCATAATTCCATGAGTTGCGTTGCAAACTATTTATTTGACAACACTTACATTGATTTGACTAAGAAAACAATTTAAATATATTGTTTATTATATACTAAAATATTTCTAATTACTAGCCTACTACATCTACACAGTGGGAAATCTATAAATCCCAAAAAAAAAAAAAAGAAGGTAAGACTTTGCCGGTTTCTAACTCGCCATTAACACGCAAAGTCGTCCGTTTCAATTGATCGAGTTTGAGCGAGTTGAATACGTGTCTATGTGAGTTGGAGCTCCCATCGAGTTTAGTTTTAATTGAGCTCGTTATTGCTCTCTAAAAATGCAAACTCGGTTGACTCTTGAATTTGATAACCATAATACAAATAAAAAAAATTAAATGAAAGATTTTAAATATAGAATCTAAATTTAAATCTACCAATCCAAACATTACCTAAAATAATGAGGTAGATGTTTGTCTTTTCCTTTTCAAAAAATATTTTTCACCTATCAACATTGCATTAATGTTTGATTCAATTGGCAAATCTCTCTGGCTGTATAACTTAAAAGTGGAAGACAATCTTGAAGAGAATTGCTTAGGTTAGAATTTGTTGTTCTTTCACTTGGATTATTTAGCTAAATTTGGATTTGAAAAGATAGTTTCAGATTTAATTTTATAAACTTGAGTTGCAGCTTTTATCTTGATGAAAATGAAACAAGTCAATTCCAATCAGTCTATACCGTTAACTAAGGCTGTATAAAGGATTGGACGGCACTAGACTTCGACCTAACCCAAAGTCTGGTCTCTTTTATAAAAAGGACTGGGTTAGGCAACCCGTAGTCCTGTTTTGTCTAATAATAACCCAAAGATTAACAGGATAGAACTTGGTCTATAGAATTGGGAGACTAGTCCTGTTAGTCCAGTATTCAGTTAGCTTTTTCTTTTTTCCTTTTCTCCTTTATAGGAGACAATAATCTATTTCAACCTAATAAACTCAATTAAAATAATAAAAAAACACTTACAATAATAATAAATTCATAATTATTTCTAATAATAAGAAAAAATATTTCTGTTATAATCCAAATGATTTAAATTTATAATTTCAACAAAAACAACACTCAACAAACTTCAACAACAATTTAAAAAAAAACTCAACAAATATTCATACAATCATCTTCTTAGTGTCAATTACACTTGAAGCATTTGTCAAGAATAAATTGATTATAATTATATTAAATAAATAAATAGTACCAGACTAGACTAAGTGGTCTAGATGCCTAGTCTCCTATCCAATCCAACTTGAAGAAATAGTTTGGTTTTTTAATCTTTTTGATTCTGAAGGACCAGTGTTTATACAAATCAAACAGAACTAGATCATCTCAAATCAAACTGGGTCAAACAAAACCGAAAGACTTTTGCACAGCCCTACTGTCAACCATATAGAGTGAAGGTTAGTCTTTTTGTAATAAAAAAGAAGCTGACTTGTAATGAGAGATTGCCCAATAATTAAATAAATGTAATTAAATTTTCTCTCAATCAACATTTAAAAATACTAAATGTATAAAATGCAATCAAAGGAGAAGTAAAGTGAAAAATTTATCTCCTTAAAATTATTTGAGGTAATCCTTTAGAAATTAGTTACAAAAATTTTGCAGCTAAGTCTTACCCCCATAAGTAGAAGAAGAAAATTTGGCCCCCCATAAAGTACTCCTGGATCCGACGCTGAATTGGAATGGAATGAGTTGATACTTGATAAAGAACAAAATGACCTAAATAAGACTGCAGAGTGATAGAGAAATGAGGGTAATAGAAAAATGAAAGTCCATAGGGTGATAGAGGGGATAAAGAGGATTGACATGAATAGGTACATGATTTTATAATCAATGAGAATTAAGTCTAGCAAAAGTGATAAGTTTTTTATATAATGAACTAATATTTGAATTCTCACTGAAAGAGGTATCCATATTTAGTATATGATCATATTTCAAACAAAATTATCTTTAATAGAAAGACACCTATAAGTAATAAATATATATATATATATATATATGGTTTCATATAATTATTGTTTATTGTTGAAATATAATGCCCTATGAAGGACTAGATATGACGAAAATGAACTAAATATCTTTTCGAATGTATCAACTACGGTCATGACAAGATTGATTCATGCTGCTTTCTATGTTGCCTCAAGTGATCTTAACAAAGGTTTTATTTGTGGTACTGCTTAAATATTTTGTGATTGCAAATATTTTTCACCATGTAAAGCATTTTGGAGGATATCTTTGATGAAATAAATTTTAAAGGATGCATTTGTTGAAATTTCAAAGGCTATTGTTCCATCTATCTAATTAACATGTAACATGTGGTCTAATATCCTGTAGTTTATTTGTTTATTTAGTGTACTACTATTACAAATAAAAAGAATTACGAAAATAGATATTACATTTCATGAGATTCACATTTAATTTATTTGATAATATATATATATATATATATATATATAAAGAACCCATGCATCTCATGAATGCATTACTACATTCAAGTGATTTTAACAATGGTTGTGCTTGGAATAAATTATGATTACATATAACTTTCCGCAAGTGAAGCATTTTAGAGGGGGTTTTTTTTTTCATATGAAATATAGTTTAAGAAATCATTAGACAATTGTTGAAAAGCAATTGTTCCATCCATCCAATCATGTTACATTTTGTTTAATATCTTGTACTTTATTCGTTTATATAGTCTATTTATTACAATTACCAATCAAGCGGACGGTGAGAACATACTTTTTTTCATATCTAAGATTCACATTCAATTTAGCTGATTTATTTGGTTAACATCGTAAAAAATGCTGGAACATGCATACATATATAATGGAAGCCGTTCAGGCACAATATGGATAGAACATATAATCTTAAATCATGTAAAAAGAAATATCAATGAAATTATTAAAAGCGAAATTTTAATTAAGAACATATTAAAAAATTTGGTTAATGGTAAAACATGATAACAACGTGCAATTTATGTAACTAATTTCAGCTAATGAAATAAAGCTGTTGGTTATTGTTATATAAAAAAGGCTAGTGCATTGGCTGATGCATTATTGAAACGAAATAAGCACTGTTACGTTATTACATTCATTACGTAGAAGAGTCTCTCCGATGCAAAGAAATCTTTATTACAAAACCAAATAAGCACTGTCACGTTATTACATTCTTTACATAGAAGATACTGTCTGAGCAGTTAAGAAGCTCAACTGATCATCAACTCACTGATCTGAAACCTGACGTTACAAAACCATAAAAATGGCATGTTTTCATCATCATCATCACCACGGCGTTAATGCAATAATCTCTTAATCCCCTCATACAGATGATAGAACATGGCAACGGCAGCAATCTGAGCACAGACTAGGCTGAAGTTTGATGAGAAATGGAAAAACTGGTAGAATTCAGAAAAGGTGAAGCAAATCAAAGGCATTTTCAGACAAAGAAGATAAAAACCCAAGACCATGGCCGTTAGGGAAGCCCCAGAGATTCTGTTAAAAATTGAAGACATGGAAGAGGACTGTGGCTTATAAATAGAAAGATGGGGAGATATCGGCCTAAGTGTATTTTTCATCGGAGTCGTGACTGGAGCAGCAGTGGCGGCCTTCTCTCCAGATGTTGCCTCAGTGGTGGTTGCCAAGGCTCGCTTAGCATCATAGCCTTTAAGACCTGCTTTAATGGCGTCCTCAGAAAACATGCTGTTGTGAAGCTTAAATGGACGAAATGACAGATGCCTTCTAATTTCTCTGCAGGATATCCGTTATCAACTATTTGAGTCATTTCATTTCAAAAACTCAAGAAAGCAGAGACCAGAACCAAGAACCATGAAAGCTTGACCGTCACCCAAAAGGGTCCAAAACTGACAAGCAGATGATTTAAATAGTTTTGCACGAATAATATTATAGCTAAAATCTACAAAAACTCCCCTGAACTTTAATGTTGTTATTTTATGAATAAAGCCCCCTACAATTAATAACTGTTATCTTATGAACAAAATTTGCCATATCAAACTAATGAGATACACACGGCACTTGACAAGAAAAAATATTTTAATTACTTTTAACGCAACTTGAGGAAAAATCATATCAATAAACAGAAAAAATATGGATAAAATTTTTATAGAGTTATTATTAACTGACATACGACATCACATAAGTTATTACATGTCTTTTTTGAAAATGACATAACAATTTCTGTTAATAAAATGACTAAGAAATAACAACCGAGGAGTCTGTGGTGGGGAAAAAAAAAGAATAATCAGTAAGGTTAATTTTAAACTTTTAAAGATGAAGAAAGTTCTGTACAACTGCCTCTAAATTCATAGGAGTCTTGTATATTTTAACCTAATGTTATTAAATACTAATTAAGCAAGGTAATCAAACAGAAAAGATTAATAAGCAGGAAGTAGGGCGGTCAGTGTCCAGGAAAAGATGAAAACCAAAATATATATTGTATAGAACATTAGCACACTACCAACTTTAAACACACAGATCAAAACATTTTGTATGTTAGTAGTCAGGTTTCCTTCCTTAGTTAACCATTCATACAGATTAAATATCATCTTTCATAGTACACCAATCTCTACTTCAACAACTTCCGTTTTCATTTCATTTCATTAGAAGAGCGCTTCATTATTTTCTTGGGTATATGTGGTATATAAAGAATAAATAGTTTAGTCAGTTGGGGGCTTAGTTAGTTACGTTCTGTTAGAATAAAGGGGTGAAGGAGCAAGGGATTGTGATTCAGATGTTATATCAAATAAAAAATACAGAAATATAGTTCAGTTTTCCCTATTTTCTATTCTTTTTCTCTGTCGTCTCTCATCTTTCTTCTTATTTCTCCTCTGTTTTATTCTATTTCTCTCTTCATCTCCTTCAGCCATATCAGTGGTATCCAGAGCCAGTCTTTCCTCACCCTTATATGCCACAAACGCGTTCCCAAGCTGCAATCAAGAAGATGACAAATCGGAATGATGCAAGACTTTGCGCCTTGGAGAAACAACTCCAAGCCCTCACTGCCCAAATAGCTAACTTGTCAGATGTTTTAATGAATCCCACAATGGTGGAGGGGCATCTTCCAATGAGAGGCAGCATCCATGAACTCAGACCAGAATTTCCAAGCTTCTAGCAAAGATGATTTTCTGATAGCATGCTACGTCAACGTCAATGTCCACTATTAACTTATCAAAGAAGAAAGGGGAGGAAGTTAGAGTCAGTTATGCAAAATTAAGTTGATTTTAATTTAATTCATTCATTTTCAGTTTAGTTGGCTAAATAAGTGGATCAACTTTTGATCATGTTTAGTTTGTTTGAGTCAATTTCTCTTTGAGCCAGTTATTATCCCAAATATGTTGGGATATTTTCTTATTATTTATTTATTATTTTGCTGTAATTCCTGCATTATAAATGAACTAGCTTCTATCATAGCTAGACATTCAAAAAATAAAATACTATTTTCCTTGGAGATTCTCCTACTCTGGCTATTAAACATTTTTAGAGTAAGATTCTTGCTCTAATTTATTTAATAGATTTATTTGCTTCCCTTATCATCTTTAGTTCTTAACAATTTGGTATCCGAGCCACATTCGATCAACATGGTGACCACATGCTCCGGCAATGAAACCATCGATCCCAACGCCACTTCATCCAATAATCCCCCACGCAATGAATCTATAGTCAATCCATTTTCAGAAGACCCATTATCAGCAATTGCTTCCAAATTAGAGACACTTGATTTATTGAAAGAGAAGATAGAGGCCCTTGAGGCTTCTGCAACGAGTAGAGGCAAGCGAACCATGGAGAGTCACCATAGGCGCTCACATTGGGAAGATGATAGTGAAGATGACTATGATCGAAGGGGCCCACGTCCACCCTATACAAAAATTGAATTTCCAAAATTTAGTGGAGGAGATCCCCGAGGATGGATTTGAAGGCTGAAAATTTTTTTGGTATTATCAAACACCAGAAGATTCGAAAGTTGATGTTGCTTCAATGAGTCTAGAAGATGCTTTGGATTTATTCTCATGGGTAAATTCAGAACACACCTTGTTGTACTAGGATGAGTTGGTCAGGACATTACAAGAGCACTATGGGCCTCCTGAATATCAAAATCCGGATGAGCACCTTGCAACCATCAAGCAAACTGGATCAGTACAAGAATACCGTCAAGAATTTGCTAGGCAGGTAGCATGAGTTCACAACTGGCCAGAGCACTGCCCTTAGGTATTTTTCTAGGTGGCCTCAAGGAAGAATTAAAAGCTCATGTATGCATTCAGAAACCTAGAACAGTGTTTAAAGCTACAAGTTTGGCCCTGGAATTTGAGAAAAAGGCTCAAAATTCGCGTGGGCCAATTCCTCATACTCTCAAAATTGCCCAAATCAGTCCCAATTTACACGTGATTTTCACGATTCCAGAGACTCCCCTTCACTAACTTCGCCAGCATATCCCTCCCGACCAGCTTCAGCCTCAATCACTCCTAAAAACTCTTCAACAGCCGCGAGAATCTCTCCTAAAGATGCAGAACGTCAAAACCAACAAGATAAGGGTCTGTGCTTCCAGTGTGGGGCTATTTTCCGACCTAAGCATCTCTGCAATGCTTCTTTTTCTTTGCTGGAAATCTCTAGAGAAGGTGAAGAAATTCTACCTCCCCTGCACGAGGGAGCCAAGACAGAAATGGAGCTAGAGGAGGCCGAAATCTCATTTAATGCAATTCTAGGACAGCATTCGTCAGCCACAATGAAACTTCAAGGCACGCTCAAAGGTTGTACTGTCCTGATTTTAGTTGATAGCGGCTCCACACACAATTTCATTTCAAACGCAGTGGTATCCGAATTGCAACTCCCTGTGCGGACGGTTCCAACTTTTGGAGTTCGAATTGGTAATGGTAGTAGAGTGAAATGCCATCAGGTTTGCCCAAAGGTTGAGGTAACAATTTTTGATTTAACTATTCAGCAAGATTTCTACCCTCTCTCCTTGGGTGGTTCTGATTTGGTACTAGATATTAAATGGTTGGCATCACTAAACACTGTGCAAGCTAACTGGAACAAAATGTTTATGATTTTTTTTCTAAATGGGAAGAAATATAAGCTACAAGGCCTACCTACCAACAATGATGTTTCTGTCCATTTCCATAGCATGCTTCTTACTCAAGAATCAAATGAGAAGGACGCATCAGGACACTTGAATATTGACAGAATTTTTCATGATTTTGCGAATGTCTTTTCTGAGCCAAGGTGCCTGCCACCACCTCGAGATCATTACCATACCATCAAGCTATTCCCAAATGCTACACCTCCTAATCTACGACCATATCATTACCCTCATTACCAGAAGGATGAGATTGAAGCTCAAATCAAGAGCTTGCTACAATGTGGATTCATACGACCTAGCACCAGTCCTTTTGCCAGTCCTGTGCTACTGGTTGGTAAAAAGGATGGTTCGTGGTGCCTCTACATTGACTATAGGCGTCTTAATCAAATCACCATACTAGGTAAGTACCCCATTTCCAATATTGATGAACTCTTAGATGAGTTGCATGGGACTATCTACTTTTCAAAAATTGATTTACGGTCCGAATATCATCAAATCCAAGTTCTACCGGAGGATGTACACAAAACAGCTTTTCGCACTCACTCAGGCCACTATAAATTTTTAGTTATGCCATTTGGTTTAACTAATGCACCAGCTACCTTCCAATCTATTTTGAATGACTTATTCAGGCCTTATTTACAGAAATTTGTGTTGGTATTTTTTGATGACCTCTTAGTGTACAGTGCTTCCCCACAACAGCATTTACAACATCTGACCGCAGTATTTCAAATTCTACAGACGCAATCCTTCTTTGCCAACGCAAAAAAAATGCTCGTTGGGCCAAACTCAAATTAGCTACTTGGGCCATATGGTTTCTGCCCAAGGGGTTGAAGTGGATTCTGAGAAAATAACTGCAGTGGTGCAATAGCCCACCCCCAAATCTGTAAAAGAACTCAGTGGGTTCCTAGGGCTCACTGGTTATTACAGGTGTTTTGTCAAAAACTATGGTATTATCGCTAGACCCTTGACTGAACTAACTAAGAAAAATTCTTTTTATTGGTCTGAACAGGCACAAAAAGCTTTTGAGGCATTAAAATTAGTAATGACCACCACACCAGTGTTGCAACTACCAAACTTTCATCTTCCTTTCACCATTCAGTGTGATGCTTCAATGGAGGGTATTAGTGCTGTCCTAGTTCAAGAAAGACATCCAATATCTTATTTCAGCAAGGGATTCTCTTTTTCCAATAGGTATAAGTCCACATATGACAAGGAGCTGTTGGCTCTAGTGCTTGCAATTCAAAAAGGGCGCCACTACCTACTTGGTCATCATTTCTATGTCCAAACTGATCACTGCAGCCTTAAATACCTATTGGAACAGCACACCCTCACCAATTCCCAGCAGCGAATGATGCTCAAGCTTCTTCCTTTCAATTTTACCATCATTTACAAAGCAGGAAAGGACAATACAGCAGCTGATTCACTATCACAAAGGCCTCAACATGCTGATTTTTTCCAGATTGTCATCCCTTTAGCAGATGCCTTCCAGCAACTCCCTACAGCATTAATGACAGACCCTGAAACCAAAGCTATTGTGGATGCATTACAAACAAATCCACAATCTCACCCAGATCAAAGCTTGGTGGAAGGCATATTATATTTCAAGGGACAACTTGTGGTTCGAAATGATTCTCAATTATGAGCTAAATTTTTGGAAGAAGCACATGCGACTCCAATGGGTGGTCATGGAGGGTTCCTAAAAACCATGAAGTGATTAGGATCAAGTGTGCATTGGCATGGTATGAAAACAGATGTTAAACATTTTGTACAAAGATGTTTAATTTGTCAACAACATAAATATGAAACTCTTGCTCCTACTGGACTCCTTAACCCGCTCCCTATTCCGAAGCAAATTTAGGAGGACATATCTCTTGACTTTATCACAGGGCTCCCAAAGTCTAGAGGTTTTGATGTTAACTTGGTGGTGGTTGATCGGCTCAGTAAATACAGCCATTCCATTGCTTTGTCACATCCTTATTCTGCAAAAACTATGGCTAGTTTATTTTGTCAAGAGATTGTACGGTTGCATGGTATTCCTCGGTCAATTGTTTCAGATCGTGACTCCATTTTTCTAGGTGCTTTTTGGCAAGAACCTTTCCGCTTGAGCCATACACGCTTAAACATGAATACAGCTTATCACCCACAATCCGATGGTCAAACCAAAGTAGTAAATCACTATTTGGATACCTACTTACGATGCTTTGCTCATGAGCAACCTAAATTATGAAGTAAATTTCTCTGCTGGGCTGAATTCTCATTTAACACCAGCTTTCACTCCTCAGCAAACACTACTCCATTTAAATTGGTTTATGGGCGTGATCCTCCTCCTTTTTGCCCTTATGTTAAGGGAGAAACATTAGTTGCAGATTTAGAGGAGCAACTGGAGCTACGTGACACCATGCTCAAAGTACTACATGATAACTTAAAGAAAGCACAAGATAGGATGAAAGCACAAGCAGATCAGCATAGGCGGGACCTTCAATTTCAACCAGGGGATGCAGTTTTTCTACGTCTTCAACCTTATCGCCAAAAGTCCTTAGCTAGACATAAGAATGAAAAATTGTCCTCCTGATTTTTTGGACCTTATATAGTTGTGAGGTGCATTGGAACAGTTGCTTATGAGTTTGACTTGCCTCCTGAGTCTAAGGTGCACCCTATTTTTCATGTTTCCCTACTTCGGCCTGCTCATGGGCAGCAACCATCTTCACCACCAGCACCTTTACCTCTTTCTGCAAATCTGGAGCTCCTCCTTACTCCCTTAAAGGTACTGAATCACCGCTGGACACCAAGAGGTATTCTGGAAATTTTAATTCAATGGGATAACCGTCCACTGGAAGATGCAAGCTAGGAAGACTATGATTTAATAACCATTCAATTTCCCACTTTTCAACTTGAGGACAAGTCTATTTTTCAAGAGAGGGATACTGATAGCACGCTGCATCAATGTCAATGTCCATTATTAACTTATCAGAGAAGAAAGGGGAGGAAGTTAGAGTCAATTATGCAGAATTAAGTTGATTTTAATTTAATTAATTCATTTTCAGTTTAGTTGGCTAAATAAGTGGATCAACTTTTGATCATGTTTAGTTTGTTTGAGTCAGTTATTATCCCAGATATGTTGGAATATTTTTTTATTATTTATTCATTATTTTGCTGTAATTCCTGCATTATAAATGGACTAGCTTCTATCATAGCTAGACATTCAGAAAATAAAATACTATTTCCCTTGGAAATTCTCCTACTCTGGCTATTAAATATTTGTTAGAGTGAGATTTTGCTCTAATTTATTCAATAGATTTATTTGCTTTCCTTATCATCTTTAGTTCCTAACATTTTCTTGGGTGGCTTTTGGAGTGCGAACATTATTTTCACTTGAATGACACACCAGATTCTCAGGTTACTGTGGCAAGTATTCACCTACACAAGGAGGCATTCCAATAGCATCAATCTTTTGTGCAAACGAAGATGGGCAAACAGCACTATGTGGAAGCCTTGAAGACATATGTAGCAGGATTAGACAAGGACCTTGCTGCTCAAGATGATATCTTGAAGCCTCAATCATTGCAAGAAACTTGGAGCATTGCACAAGTGCATGACTTCAATCTTCAAAGAGCAGGAGACACACAAAAACGTCCAGAGGGAGTCTTAATTTTCGTGATGGGTTTCGGAATGCTTTGTTGGGTTCAGACAGGTAGACAAGACCACAAAACACATCTGGTGGTGGTGAGTCCCAACATGTTGAGGATAAAAACGTCCTTTCCCCTGAAATTCATTCTTTTTATTTGGAAACTGGTCATACTTCCTTTGTTTCTCCCACAAAAAAGTTGAACCCAGATAAAGCAGCTGAGCATAGAGCCCAAAATATGCCTCTTTACTGTCATCAAAAGTGCTGCAAACATGGGTTTTCATTTGGGTTCACATGCTCGGGTAATTTTCAGGACAAACAGTCAAAACCCCAGCTGTCATACAGGTGACATTTTCACAAGCAAAAGCTGTGTCAATTTCCTTTAATAGTCTTAAAGGAGCTTCAAAATTGGATTACTAATGTTGGGCTATACAAGGTGATAGGGGTGGTACAGAAAATATTAAATAAAAGAGTTGGATGGAAGCACAGCACATTATCACAAGAACATTGGTTTAGTGGAGAAGCTTGCCCAATAAAGAAGCAACTTGGATGTCCCAGTTTAAGTTTCAGAAGCAGTCTCCAGACTTTCCTATCTCTGACCCTTGAGGTCAAGGGTTTTTGAGGGGAGGGTATTGATATGTAAAGAAAAAATAAAGAATAAATAGTTTAGTTAGTTGGGAGGTTCGTTAGTTAGGTCCTGTTAGAATAAAGGGATGGAGGCGCCTATATGAGGGATCCTAAGTGTGATTCAGATGTTATGTTAAATAGAAAATACAGAAATATAGTTCAGTTCTCCGTATTTTCTGTTCTTTTCCTCTCTCGTCTCTCATCTTTCTTCCTATTTCTCCTCTGTTTTATTCTGTTTCTCTCTTCTTCTCTCTTCATCTCCTTCAACCATATCAACATGTAGGTAGACCTCAGAAGGCATTATTGTACTCTCAGTCACACCTTATTCCTAGGCTCTAGGGACACAAATGTAAATTTTCTTTAGCATTTGGTCTATAAATGAATGCCCTCATCCTTTTAAATGTATCAGAGCATTTCCAATTCAAAAGAGAAAATAATAATCCAATTCTCCCATCAAATTTATCACAATTTACTCAATTAAGCTCTAGAAGCAGCTCAGTGTAGATTTTAGCTAGTCAGACTCAGAGTAATGCGACGGCATATCCATTGGGAAGCAAGTAACTCTTCTACACAACTAGAAGGCTAAAGCTTCCAAATCCCAGCCTTGGAGTAGAAGTTCAGTAGCAGACTAGCACATTCCCTCTTTCTTGGGAAAAAAGAAAGCAATAATGTAAATGAGTAAAAGTAAACAATAAATTAATTGCATCTCATCAACTCATAAAAGGGAGACCCCCATTTTTTGCCAACAATGGGAGAAAATATTTAATAAATTGTTATTCCATTTTTCAGAAGTGCAACTGATGTAACATAGATATGGCCACCCTTTTCTGAGCTAGGATAATTAATTCACTGTTAACTAAGAGCTACAGCTCATTTGTTTCCTTTCTTCCTATGTTTCCAAAGAGAGGGATTGTATATATATTCCCAGGAGGAAGGGGGGATTGTGTTTGACAACTAGTAGACTTTCACTCCACAGATGGTAACAAAATGTTTTGTTCAGGTACAAAAAGTAATCCCAATACAGGATCTGTGGCACTACTTCCACCAGTTTGATGTTTAGATGTCTTGTTTAGAGTGCATCGAGCAACAATGACCACAAAGGCATCAAACATTGAATGGGAAATATAATACAGCAGCTTAGTGCATTACCAAGATTGGGGAAGCACCGAAGTAGTGATTGTCAACTTTTAAAGTTGAAGGAGAATTACAAAAATAACCTAATGGATGTACCATGTTGCACAAATTTGCAAGACTAGGAGCTGGTTGTCAGCTTTTAAAGTTGAAGGGGTATTTCACCGGCCCTTGAGTCAAATTAGAATCTAATGCAATGCAATTTACCCAAAATTTTATCTTGTACATGAGCTGTCTTGTTTCCTTCCACATTTAACAATTTATACAACAATAGCAACAAGTCTTATCCCACTAGGTGAGGTCAGCTACATAAATTGCACAATGCCATTGTGTTCTATTAGCAACTAAGCCATTTATATTGATTGAAAAAAAATCATCTTCAATAGAATATATGTTTATCTCTTCTTCAACTCAAGCAAGGGCTCCAGCATGGATAAAGGTTGACATGTCCAGGCATAAAAAATAATGCATACCCTGTGTCATGGTACAAGGCTTAAGGGGGATGGGCCAGGAGGTTGCATGGACAGGGAATGAACTATGCCCAAAGTCTTCTAAAGGTGAGAAAAGGAAGGACTACATGAGAAGGAAGAAAATTTTACCAAAAAGGGTGTGAAAATTATTGTGAAGACCCTCTCTCTCTCTCTCTCTCTCTCTCTCTCTCTCTCTGCTGTTCTCTTCCTTTCCTCTGGCTGTTGTCACTGTGACAATGGATTCTCTCCTTCTTTCTGCAATTCTGTAGCTACCTTTCCCTTTATGTTCCCTTATTTCTACATTATTGCAGTTTTGAAATTTCCCTTTTATCAATTCTTGAAACTATTGTTTGGATGAGGAATTTTCTGTCAATCGATGTGTTTATGCATTTTGAGTTCATGACACCCTGCTTGCCCAATTTATAAATATACAGGTTGGCACTGCTTTAGTATTTGTAACAAACAGACTATTATTGTTCCCGGAAAGTGGAGAAGTAAATTAATATATGGTCATAACCATCAAGTAAATCATATTAATATAATATACATCTTTCAAATGTCAATCACCACCCTAACTTATATCATGCTAAAGACAAATGTAAGTCACTTAGGAGAATAACATACATTTGTATTATATGCTCCCTAGAGTTAAGGATACTTACATGTACTTGATGGATGAAACTCCCCCCATTTGCTTTCCTTTTACCCATCCAAGAGCTGAAAAGTGAAAGATAAAAATGTTAACAACACATTTAACGAGGACAAAGTACCTATGAGCAAACTATCACACCAAAAAGCGCATAATACAAATTTAACAGCTATTGAATTTTCATTTAACGCAATGAAGGTCATCATCCCTGCACATTACTCCTCCATATGCTAAAATCCTATTATCTAAATCAGTGCCAGTTCATGAACTGCCTATGATGTTAACAATCTAAAACAATTAGATATACAGGATCAACTACAACTTTACACAATCAAGCTAGACAAAAGGATCGAGAATGAAAAGACAAGAGAAGAAAGGACTGTCCTAAACAAAACTCATCAAAATGGATTGATAATTCTATGTGCATGTTCAGTGTAATACAGTATTACTATTTGTGGAATTTTCAGAGAGGAAAAAAAAATTGTATTGTCTCATTGCTATTCTAATGTACACACTGATCCTATATATATACATCAAGAGAGATAAAAGCTAATAAATACTAATAAAGCCTAATTAATGAGATCCTAATAAATGCTAATAATTCTCAATAATAACATAATATTCCCACATAAGCCTAATTAATGAGATCCTAATAAATGCTAATAATTCTCAATAATAACATAATATTCCCACACTCCCCCTCAAGTTGGATCATAAATGCTAATCATGTCCAACTTGCTTATACAACTCTCAAATGCAGGCTTGGGTAGTCCCTTGGTTAGTACATCCGCAGCTTGTAACTTTGTAGGTAGGTATGTCAGACATACAATACCTCCTTCTACTTTCTCTCTGATAAAATGTCTATCCACTTCAACATGTTTAGATCTCTCATGCTGTACAGGATTCAATGCCATGCTTATAGCAGCCTTATTATCACAATACAATTTCATTGGTGGATCAACTCTGACTTGTATTTCTTCCATGACCCTTCTTATCCATAGTTCTTCTGTAATTCCTTGAGCTAATGCTCTCAATTCTGATTCAGCACTGCTTCTGGATACAACTCTTTGCTTTTGACTTTTCTAGGTTACTAAGTTTCCCCACACAAATGAACAATAGCCAGAGGTGGATCTCCTGTCTCCATAAGTCCCTCCCCAGTCTGCATCGGTGTAAATCTCAATTGTCCTTTGATCATGCTTCTTGAATAACAATCCCTTACCAGGTGAACCCTTAAGGTATCTGAGAATCCTATATACAGCTTCCAGGTGTTTCTTCCTTGGATCACACATGTATTGACTTACTACACTGACAGCAAAAGCAATATCTGGCCTCGTATGGGATAAATAAATCAGCTTCCCAACCAGTCTCTGATATCTGTCTTTATCAATGGTTTCTTCTTTCTCCTTGTCTTCTTCTTCTTCAACTTCATTATCAGAGTTGTCTTCTCCTTTTAACTCCTCAGTGCCGCTTTTCTTAGGTGGCCTCTTCTTTTTCGAGACCACAATAGGAGTTTCCTTAGGTTTACAACCCAACATGCCAGTTTCCTTGAGAAGATCAAGTATATACTTCCTCTGAGATACATATATTCCTCGTTTTGACCTAGCAACTTCCATCCCAAGAAAATATTTCAAGTTCCCAAGATCCTTAACTTCAAATTCCTTACTAAGGATAGTTTTTATCCTTGCTATTTCATCAACATGATCTCCTGTAAGGATTATATCATCAACGTACACAATGAGGATGCACTTCTTAGCTCCCTCAGCCTTAACAAACATCGTATGATCTGACAATCCTTGCTTGTAGCCTTCTAACTTCAGGACCTTTGAGAATCTGTCAAACCATGCCCTAAGTGACTGTTTCAAGCCATACAGTGATTTTTTCAGCCGACATACTTTGTCATTTCTGCCTCTATCAAACCCAAGAGGTAAAGTCATGTAGACTTCTTCCTTCAATTCTCCATTTAGAAAAGCATTTTTGATATCTAGTTGATGAAGATGCCATTCAAGGTTGGCTGCCACTGACAATAGATTCTTATAGTGTTCAGTTTTGCCACTGGTGCAAACGTTTCTTTGTAGTCTATGCCATAAGTCTGGGTGAAACCTCTTACTACTAACCGTGCTTTCAACTTGTCAAGTGTGCTATCAACCTTATACTTTGGGGTAAAGACCCACTTGCAACTAACCAGTTTCTTACCTCTAGGTCTTTCAACAATCTCCCATGTTTCATTTTTCTCCAAAGCTCTCATTTCCTCCATAACTACATTTCTCCATTCTGGTATTTCCAATACTTCTTGGATGTTGTTAGGAATAACAACTTTATCCAAATTAGTGATGAAGGCTCGGTAACCAGGAGAGAGAGCCTTGTAGGACACATGCTTCTGAATCGGATGCAAGGTACAAGACCGAGGTTGTTTCCGAAGGGCAATAGGTAGATCAAGATCAGTAGATTGACATCTTTGTTCTGAGTCATCTGGCTTACTAGATGGATCAATCTTTGGTACGTCAGCTTCAGGGACTACCTCTGGTTTTGACTCTCTTGGTGCCTCAGGTACAAGTTGCTCACTATCTTTTGTTTTCTTCTTTTGAGTGTAAACTAACAACTCCCCCTTTTGTGGTCTTTCCACATCTTTCTCTGTTTTCTTGTTTTCCTCAAACTTTGGCATAAGAGAAGAGGTTGGTAAAGGTGGGATGTTGGACAAAGGTAAGGGTGATGGTTCTAGTAAAGGAGACACGGACTCAAGAAGTATATATTCAGCGTTAGGTTCTAGTTCCCAAGTCTGAGATTCACCTATATTCTCCCCCTGAATTGAGGAATTGGAATAAAAAGGAGTTTCTTCATGGAAAGTAACATTGAGGCTTACAAGGATGTGTTTAGAAACAGGATCAAAGCATTTATATCCTCTTTGAGTAGTAGGAGAATAGCCAAGGAAGATACACTTGATAGCTCGAGGTTCAAGTTTACTGCTTTGGTGGATATGAACAAAGGTTGTGCACCCAAACACACGAAGCGGAAGTTTGGTTTCAATGTGGGATGTAGGAAAAACACTCTGCAATTTTTGGAGAGGAGTTTCGAAGGCTAATATTCGACTGGGCATCCGGTTGATGAGATAGGTTGCGGTTAAAATGGCATCTCCCCAATAAAACTTTGGCACGTTGCAAGTGAACATGAGTGCTCTTGCAACTTCAAGGATATGTCTATTTTTTCTTTCTGCGACCCCATTTTGTTGGGGTGTATGGGCACACGTACTGGTATGGACAATCCCATGCATTTGGAGAAAATTACTCAGATTGGTTGAAGTATTCAGTGCCATTATCGGTGTGTAAAACTTGAATGCTAGTGTTGAATTGGTTTTTTATCATGGTGAAAAAACTCATGAATGTGGATGCAACCTCGGACTTGTTTTTCAAAAGGTAAACCCAACAAACACGAGTATGGTCATCAATGAAGGAGATGAACCATTTTGTTTGAGTACAGTTTGAAATGCGAGATGGTCCCCACAAATCACTGTGGATGGTTGTGAAAGGTTTGGTAGGTGTGTATTTGGCTCTAGGAAAGGAAGTTCGATGGTGTTTGGCAAGTTCACATACCTCACACTGGATTTCAATATGATTCAAGGTCGGACATAAGGTTGGAAACAACTGCTGAAGGTAATGAAAATTGAGATGACCCATTCTCTTATGCCATAACATAAAATCATGAACTTTAGAGGTAGATGCAGAAATACCAACAATAGGTGGGTTATCCACTCAAGTGACGACCTCTAAATAGTAGAGCCCCTCATATTCTTTGGCATTGCCGATTGTCGCACCAGATGATAGATCCTAAAACACACAATGTGACGGGAGAAATTTAGCAAAACAATTTGAGTGCCTGGTCAGTTGACTGATTGAAAGTAAATTACAATCAAGTTTTGGCACGTGAAGGACAGATTCCAAAGTAATAGAATCTGATATACGGATACTCCCTTTTCCTGCCACCGGTGCTAAGGAGCCTCTCACTTTAATATTTCCAGCACATGGGGTGTAAGTGGTGAACAATTGATGACAATTAGTCATATGATCAGATGCCCCGGAATCCACGATCCAGACCACTGCACTTCGAGTCGTCTTTAAAGCCTGAAGGAAAGACCCTTTTTTGGCCACAAATGCCATGGGTGCAGATCTAGAATTATGCACAACACTACATAAAAGTAGCCACAGCACCACCCCTAGTACTTCAAATGAGGGAAAAGCTTTCTGGTAGACTGAAAACAGAAGCCACAACCCAATATAACTCCAAACCCAGCAAAACAAGGCACTAACAACACCATACGACCTGATATGGCTCGAAAACGATGTGCCCATACACCGGATTGTGCTGGATCTGGCCGGAGAGAGTGCGTCGTTGCCGTCCGAGAAGATCACGTCCTGAACGGAGCCTCCACGCGCCTCCACGCGCGGCCGAAAGCTTGCTGACGCAGTGAGCAGGGGTGGCGCGTGTGGTCTACACGCGCCGCCGTTCGCCGCCGCCGCCCTGGGTTTCGCCGTTCGGAGCCTCCTGAGTATGTCTAGGGTGGCGGTGAGATTCAAAACTCGCTCCACTATTGTCCACACAAATGCCGTCATGTACTGTTCAGGCAGCCCCATTCTAGCCATTCCAGAACTAATTTAATTTGAAATTTTGAGCCTGATGCTCTGATACCATGTGGAATTTTCAGAGAGGAAAAAAAAAATTGTATTGTCTCATTGCTATTCTAATGTACACACTGATCCTATATATATACATCAAGAGAGATAAAAGCTAATAAATACTAATAAAGCCTAATTAATGAGATCCTAATAAATGCTAATAATTCTCAATAATAACATAATATTCCCACATAAGCCTAATTAATGAGATCCTAATAAATGCTAATAATTCTCAATAATAACATAATATTCCCACACTATTTCATAGTGCTCTCTAAGTCAGTCAGCTGAAAACATTAATCACAGAAAAGAACCCCAATCCATCAATCCAATCATATTCTAGGAATCTAACTCATGCTCGCTCAACTTCCATACTGGGAAATCAAAAATAGCATGTAAAAAAAAAAAAAAGCCCCCCAGACCTCCATTAAGATAAAATGTTGAGAAACTCCCGAGAGATAAAAACGTTTAGAAAAGTAATTTGTTCAAATTCCAATGCCCCTATACACAAATGGAGAAGCAAATTTTGGTGCAAAAAACCCAAAGCACAGATTCATCCCAATTTGTCTTTATCTCAACAAACAAAAATAAAAGGAAAGGTATAAAAGGGAACTCGCAGGACCACATACCCATAGATGAAGAGGCAACACCCAAACCACAGCCAAAGGTCTTGGAGGAAGTATCAACAATCTTTCTGGTCTGTTCATCACCCTTAATATGGAGTTTCATGTCATCCCCACAAGCTGGTGCCCCAACCATGCCCATACCAACCATGGGATCATACTTGGATCCAGTACTCCGTGGTTTGTCACAGTGATCAACAACCTTCTCAAGGGAGAATTGAGGCAGAACCTGGAGGGTCGGTGATGGCACCACCCGTGACACTCCCAAAATTCTCTTTGAAACCAGCCTCAGCATTCTTTGGTAGATTCAAGATCCTCTTCTTCTCTAAGGTTTCCTTCCCTTCAATCTGCAAATATATATGGTTCCTCAATTCTTTAAATTCTTCATGCAGAAAATTATCATTATGAACCATTCTGATTATCCAATCATATAAAGTGTAGTCGATATAACACTTCCTAACCATAGTTATCACCAATTAAATACAAGCATCAAAGCCACAGGAAGAGTAAGTAGCAACAAAGGACAACGCTGTCAAGAAAGTGGCCAATGAGCACACAATAATATCATTGAAATTGTGAGACTATAAGTCAAGATAGTTTAACCGAGATCTCAGTCTAAGTAGTTTGAGGCTTCCATTCTAAATCTCTCAAATAAACGCACCCAGAATTCTTAATAGGTGCTTCACACCGAGAAGTGAAAAAGAAGGTGCTGGTTTTTTTTTTTCAATTGTCTGAGATTCAAAATGAAAAGAGATTACATATTGTTTTGTTCCGAGAGATAAACAGGTGCTGGTTTTCGAATAGAAGAAAATAGATGATAATGGGCAATTTTAATACAAATACCTTGAATAGACATGAAAGCTACACAAAAAAATGAATTTTTAAAGCAGACACAGATAAAGGAGAAATAAATTCAAACACACACTCGAGACAGATACTTGTTCGCCGAACCAAACTAGATAAGGAATAAAAGGGATGACAAAGAAAGATCGGAGCCCGAGAGATAAAAGGGGTGACGGCGAGGAAGACGAAGGTTGAAAGGCAAAGGAAGAAAGAGTACCTAAACAAGGACGATCAAGACAAGGTTGACAGTGGGTGAGAGAGCCGAGCACCTGAGAGCGGTGAGAGCGGCAGCAACGAGAACCGACGAGCAGTGACGGAGGCGAGAGAGATCTGCGAATGACTAGCGAAAGAGAGACCTTCAAGGCTATACCCAGTGTCAATTACAAATTTGCCATCACTAAAAAATTTAAAAAAAAAAAAAAAAGATCGTCAGCTATTAATTTTTTTTTTTATTTTCAAGAAAAGATGAAAAAGTAAGAATCTTGGCTGTTAAGGATGGTTTGAAGGTGGAGAAAAAGGGAAGCATTTTTATGTAACCTTGTGTGTGTTTGAGTAGCTCATTAATCGATTTTTTGAGGGAAAAAAATCAATTTTGCATGAAATTATCTAAACAGCAATTCTTAAAAAAAAGATTTTTTTAAAAAAAATTAATTTTTTCTCAAAGCTGTCAAAGGCAGCTTTTGTGTTCAGATTATAAAAACATATTGAGAAATTACAAAGCAAGGCCCAAAAAAATTATAAAAAGGCACAAAATTTATTAAAAATAAAGTCAAACTTTTTTCTCTCTATTTTTTTTAATAAAATTCAAACTTTAAATCTTTAAAAAAGTTACTAGCATAAGTTCCTACCAACAATCACCTTTCACTTAACACTTACTATAAAACTAATTTAAATAAAATATTAAATGATAGAGAAAAATTAATTTAATTTAATTTAAAATTGAGGGTCATTATAAAATTGTTGCAAAAGTACATAGAGAGAGAGATTTTATATCATTTGTTACATTGCTATATTTTTTATATTGCGAAAATTTCTAAGTAGTGTTTAACATCTTCATCAGATATGGCTTATATTCATGATATCATTAAAGATCAACTTGTACATTAGCATCTTCATTAGTTATTGTAAAATTGATATTTGGTATTTAAAAATAAAATCTTTCTGTTTTATTAAATTTATTTGAATTAAGATATATTGAGTTATTTATTTATGTAAACTAAAATTTTTAATATTAATATAATTTAAATTTTTATAATTAATCAGATATATAATTTAAATAATATATTTTAATTTTTAAATATTATATACAAATTTATCAATAATTTAATTTTGAAAGGCAATGTCCTTTATAATGATTTACACAATTAAAATTGATTCTAAGTAAATTGCTCAAATATCTTCAATTCTATTAAAATCAATTTTAAAAAAAATAGTATCTAAACAAATTACGTTATAACATAATTAATTATGATTAAAATCTGTCATTTAATTAATTATTTTTATAATCTATTATACCCAATTGAAATTCAAATGGACACCTTGTTTCATTTTGTTGAAAGAAGGAGAATGAAGTAATTTTTAATTCAGACAAAAAAAATGATATTTTTAATGATATTTTGTTTGGTTCAAGAGAAAAAGGGAGGTTAAATCAAATTACTATTATACTCTATATATATATATATATATTTTTCTTACTATTGTCTTAAATAAATTAACTTACACCACAAACAAATTCTATAACCAACAATTACCTTTTCACAGCTTTTTGGTCAGCTGAAAATAATGAAAAGAATGACAATGTCTAACCAATTAAGTGCGTGTTTAGTTTTTAGTTGGTCAAAAGTTAATTTGTTAAAAATTTATTTGACAAAAATTAATTTAGTAAAAGTCAGTTGTTGTAAGAAATTTATATTTGGATCTATATTTTTAAAAGTTAGTTTAATTGAAAGTTGTTTGGATTGTATATCATGAAAATTAGATTTGAATGTAAAATTTACCAAAAAGAATACTCCCTCCGATTAAAAATGTAAGACATTTTTTAAAGAATTGAATGTTAAAAAATGTAAGGCATTTTTAATCTTTCAAAGTGTAATTATTACCTTTTTTTAAAAAAGTGCTCCTATTAATAATGACTTTATATTTATTGTAGGGTGTTTAATAGGTGTAAATATGAAAAGATAGGATTAGTTTGAAAGTAAGTAACTATTTTATTGAGGAGTAAAATTCGTTAAAAATGCTTTACATTTTTAAATGGAGGAAATATTGATTTCTATGATTTATAATTTTTGTTACACAAATGCAATATATATTTGAAATGTTTGAAAAATATATGTAATAAAAATTGTAAATAATATAAAATTTGATATATTAACTAATAATAAAAATATAAAGTTAGATATATTGAATTAAAATTATATAAATAGTTTAATATATATTAATATTGAAAATTAACATCATTAATTCCACTAAGTCACTTTTTTCTTGATTATCTAATAACAAATGTGAGATAATTGTTATTTTTTAATCAAATCTAATCTTTAATTTAGTTTTCTATTTTACAAAACCAAAGCATTTGAACGAAGAAATGATACAATATCAGTCAAAAAGGTTGAATGTGGTTTCAAAAAGCTTCAATTCATCATGTTTCAAGATCCACTTTCAAGTCCAATTTAAATGTGCCTTTCAAAAGTTAGTTTTTTAATGCCCAAACAACATTTGACTTTTTGAATGTTGAAAGTAGAATAACCAAACACTCACTGAACAAAATGAATAGTTTGGTACGGTTAAATAGTTTTTAATAGAATTAAAATTGAAATTAAAATTAAAATTAGAATTGAATTGAATTTTAAAAATATATTTGGTATGTTAAAAAAATAGATAAAATCCTTATATTATTTTTGTTTGGTATGTAAGACATAGAAATGGAATTATACTTAAAAGATAAAAACACCCCTAAAAATTAAAATCAAAATTACAATATATTAAAAGCTTAACTGTGATTTAATTTCTCATATACTATTTAATATACAAATGAAATATTATATAAATGACGGATATTAAAAATAAGTAAAATATTTTATAAAATAAATATTATAAATATATAAATTATATATAAACATATATATATATATATATATATAATTTATATATACATAAATTTGAATTGTTCGAGTTGGGCATTTTGAATTGGGCACTTATATATATATAAATGAAATCATGAGCTAGGCATTTTCAATTGTCTATTATGCGACAGTTTGCAATTTGCATGCTCAATTCTTCCAGTATTAATCACAAAAGAGCAAGGGCACAGCTGTCTTCTTCATTTTTATTTGAGGATAATATTGTCTTGAAAAAATACAATTTCATAGAATTTCTTCAATTCCATAGCTCCCACCAAAGAATTTAATTCAACTTTTTTTGCTTGAATCAGGATTTTTAAGAATTTAAATTCACATGTATTAAATATCATTGTTTTATGATTCCAGCTCCAATTCTTTTTCCGGGCTGATGATTCCACTCTACCAAACATAGTTAAATTCACTAGAAGTAAGAATATATCTTCACAAAATAAAAATAATGAGAATCCTGACCCATTCCACTTTGAATATATTATACTTTCAAAATTAGTGCACGGACACCAAAGTACAAGCTCTTCTCCTTTGTTCGCCTTCTTCGCACTTGGGCTCTATTCGTCTTTCACAACTTTCTCAACCATATCAATGGAGTTATAAGTTTCAACAAGCGAAGTTACGGTTTGAATTATGACAAAAAAAAGTGATGCACAGAATCGGAGATCAGACTATCAGATTTAAAATGAAAGCAATGGCATCTAAAAAGCATGGATATTTCAAAAAAGTAAATGTGTCCATATCCAACACGATACTTGTAGGATATATCAACATACGTATCTCATATTTTAACATTGATAATACGATTTTTTTTCAATTTTTTTACTATATCACTTAAAAAATAAAAAAAACCACTTTATATTTTAATTGATTATTCAATAATCAATTAATTCTAATAGTATCCAATCAAATCTTAATGGGTGGAAATTGAAGAGCAATTTTAGTAGAAAAGCATTAAAACTCACCTTGATGATTTGTAGACTTCATGAACCAAAGAATCACACTCCAGTGGTGGGTTAGGTCAAGCCAAAAAAAAAAAAAAAAGTCCCTCACAACATAGCAAACTAGTATTCAAATTTTAGTTGAGAGAAATAATCATATTTCATGTTCAATTATGTCTCTACACATAATTGGTTCCAATAAAAAGACAATTATGAACAATTAAAAAAATATATCAGAGAGATTAACCCTGGCTGCCCATAACCTCTTTTCTGATCCCAGTCATTTTGTTTTGTTTTAGAGCTTATTATAAGCCACCACCCAAAAAATTTTCAAAGCTCTTCCTAATCCATCATAAACCACCTTAAATTAATCCTATGATAAACATTCAAATGGCTTCAAGTTACCGAATTTAAATTCTTTTTTAGGAACGTCACACCTTTAGTTCTAACGTTTAGTTTTACTCCAATTGAGGTTCAAACTTTGAATCTTTTAATTATAAAAAAGTACTAAGCACTAATTAAGCTAACACTCTATTAAATATTCTACATTTCAATATTTTATCACTTTATTTTTGGGAAAATATAACTTTTCATGTTTGAAATTTATCTCAATTATTGATTTAACCACTAAATTTTGATTTAAATAACTCAATCCTTTTAATTTATTCACTTTATTGAGTTAAAGAATTACACAAAATGAATTATTTTGAATTAATAATTTATAATAACTAAGTTATTATATTTCAAAATTTAGGATCTAAAATGATTGAGAAATAAATTTATGGATTGAAAGTTACATATACTACAACTTAGGGTGAGTTTGGATATCCATTGGGTACAATTAATTATAAAAAAATATTAAAGTGATTTATTTTAAATATAATTATTATATGTAATGTGGTATAATTGATTTATACAATTAATTAATAAAATTAATTTTAAGTATAATTGAAAAGCATATTTAAATATTAGGTAAAGCCATGATTTGTGAAAATATATCCAAACACAAGTATTATATGAAAAAAAATTAATTATAAATTTAAAATTATAGTTCTTTAAAAATATACAAATACCTCTATTACATGATGACATAAATTATGAACACAAAACTTTAACTTTCTTAAAAATATTTAAAAATCTAAAGTCCGCTTGGATTTCTATCAAAAAAATTAACTAATATGATTAATTTTGAATATAATTAATTAGTTATGTGATATAATTAATTTATAAAATGTATTAATAATTAATTAATAAAATTAATTTTAAGCAGATTGAAAAGTAGAATTAAA